AAAGTGATATACGTCAAGAGAAATGAGATAAAAAATAAACAGTATTTAATGTTATTGTTACTTTCTATTAGGTTTTATGGGAGCATACAAAGTTGGTGGTTGTATAAAATAATAAATTTCTTCCCTATATCGTTGGTAGTACCTGAAAAAAAAAATATTTTATTTTTCTATTCACTTCATTTTCAATGTTAAAAACATTCACAGTTGTGTTAATGAAACAGTCCAAATTTTTTTTATAGTACAAAATGAACATCACATTCTGTACGAAAGCTCTCAACGGAAGAGCTAATAGAAACGCGGATTCGAATCCCTGATCAGAAATTCAACAACACGAACGCTAAAATCAATTTTGATGTCCTAATACTAGTAAATATGTTACGTCAAATTATACAAAACATAAATTATGTTATACGGGAAAAGTTACTCTTCAATTATTATAATAAAAAAATTAACTCCAAACACATATTAAAATAATGAATAATAATCTTGCTCATTTATTAACCACAATAGATGAAAGCAACAATAAATTCCATCGATAATACAGTAAAATAATATTATCAAGGTACTTACATGATGACAGGAAGCGGCACCTCAACTCTAGGCCGTGTTGGCGCGCAATTTTCTTTGTTGTTTATCGCGAAATTTCTCTGACTTTCAGACATTTTCTTCTCGATTTTATCGCAAAATTCGATGCCACTAAAATTACAAATATTATAATTGAAAAAAAAATACAAAACATTAAAAAAAATATTTTTAAATTTCACAACACTAAAAAATTTACCTTAATTATCGTTGTTGTTATATTAATAGTTATTTAATTATTTTTTAATAAAGAATTTATTAATGCTTTTGTACCGGGATGTTGCCTGTCGGGTGTAATATGCGATACTGACGATGGACTCTCTGGTTTCATGTTTTATTTGTGATAGGGCGTAAGCAACAGCCGCCCGCCCAACTCGAGGGCTGCGTTCACATTTGAGATTGTTAATATAACAAAACTTTTTCATTTTCCTTTTCATGTTTTTATTTTAATATATCTACGAGTATTTAACTTTCATTTCAACAACCGAGTTAATGTGTCGTATATTTAGTATGTACCTTATAATAAAATTTATAAAACTCTTTAACACAAATTAAATTAAAAATAGGGATACTGAATAACATTAAAATATTTACCTTTTAATACTCTATGACAATTTTCAAGTTTATTTTTAAAAAGACAATTATTTCGTTGCCATCCATATTTGTATGTAATATAAAAAATATTTAGTGTACATAGTATATTTACCGTTATTAAAAAAGTAAAACCAGTATATCAAAATTTTGTTTTCTTTTTATACGAGGTATTGCTCGCGACTTCGTCAGCGTACAGTTAAAAAACATTTCTGTTCCTTTCATACTTTCATTACTTTTTTTCATATTTCATTACTTACATAATCCATCTATACTCCCGACAGAATCGGCCCAGCCGTTTAGAAGATTAGCCGGAACAAATAGTATTGCGGACAGACAGAAAAGTAATTCTTGTTTCATTTATTTATTAGTCATTTTTCATACTGTTTTTGTCTGTTATAATCGCTGAAAAAATAAATGTTGCAATTTTCTGTAATTCAGCTATTTATAACAACTACACTAAAAATGAGTAAGATATGATTTTTTTATCGTCAAATATTTGTAATGATTTTTACTATGAATTTTAATCTTATGACCTTGAACATTTAGTTATCAATTCTGAAATATTCAACTTTCATCAATGTCTACAAATTTAGTTTTATTGGAATTTCTTTATTAACTCAGCATATTTTCGGACTAATAACAAATAAGCAATTAAAATGAATTACTTATTATAAAATATTCTTGAAACTTTACATTATTTCTTGAAACGTAATTTTTATCTATTTGCATAATATGCGTTTATACCACGTAATATTTCCATCAAAAACCTCCAGGTTCAATCTCTTTGAAGCACGTTTTTCAAGAGGTTTTGCGATCGATGGTGCTATTTTCATATAGTAAGCCTTCTCAACACGATAAGTCTGATATAATGATTGGAAAAATAACACCAGAAAAGTGTTCTCTTATTCTTGATACTATATTTTATAGCCAATTTATGATGATCAGACTAGGAATTAAAAATATATTTTTTTTTTTACATAAAATCAAGAACTATGTTTTAAAGATGTCACTACTTAGTTTATTTTTTAAATTGTAAGGTTATCATAACTTTTGAAGGAGTGCGTGTAAAATGGTCGAAGATGTTTGGACAGAAGAACGCCGCGATCGTCCTATTGTTACGGCCAGATGATAAGTGCAGTCTTTTTTGACGGACTTTCCAAAAGGAAGCACTCAATTTGTCTTATTCTTTTATGTATCTAGTATCAATACTATTTAGTCGGACTATACATAATTACATTACACGGTAAGGGTAATAATTTTGAGTATCTAGTACCAATACTATTTAGTCGGACTATCATTACACTCAACATCAATCGAAATTAAATTCTACCTGTAACAGACAGATTAAGCCTCGCACCGGCACAGATACACGAATGAACGGACAGTGCTTGCGCGGTATGTTTACAAAGCAGGGACGCAGGTTCAAGCCCCAAACATTGACCAGATTTATTAAATCCGCGTCTTTGTGTCTGCAATAGCATTCAGTTTGTCCGCGCTCTGTATAAATTTGATTATTTGATCGGAATTGCTAATGAAAAAGCAACCTTTATGAACTGTCTGTTGTTTGGTACAACCAAAGTACTCAATATTGACTATTGTCTACACACTGCTTTTTAATCATATTTTTATGGTAGTTTGGTAAAAAGTAATTTGTTTACTAAGTCCCTTTTTCCCTCTTTTATCTAAATGTAAACGTAATTATTATAACGTAACGTAATTATTTAATTCTTACAAGCTTCTCACTTTTCAGTTAAAATTCACTTAATTAAAAAACAAATCTATGTCTTCACATCACCCTGGATTTAAGAAAACTCTGGAGCAAAATCATAAAAAAAATGAGAGGACACTACGCTTTTATGCAGGCAATTCGTGCTGATCCCCCACTGTAAGAAGAGACAGAGACAAAGGAAATCAGATATTGGCAAATCTCATTAGCATCTTGTTTTAGTCAAATCACTTCTATATCAATTTACATCGGTGCAAACATCCGAGGCCATTAATATAGATCCCTTTGCCCGGGCCGTAGCCATGGCAACGCATCTGGCTGCAGCTTACGTGCATCTGTGTGAGTATAATTGACAGGTGTGCATATGTGTGCAGCTCTTTGTGTCGATTCCGAGTATTTTGAAAGCCCCTCCATATTATACACGAATGGAATAAGTAGTATTAATAAGAGAATTATAATGAGCATTTTAACAGGAAGTAGAATAATTATATCTTTGGCATCTGTCAAATAATATTTACTAGCTGTCGCCTGCGACTCTGTCAGTGGACTTAAAAAAAAACAATAGTGTGCCTATGTGTTCTTCCAGACTAACATCATCGAAAATCGTTTAGGCTACAAATTCTAACCAACATCCATCCATTCCTCTAAACTTTTGCATTTATTAAATTAGTAAGTATTTATTAACCCTTTCTCCATACATCTACTTATTATTGTGATCTTGTACATAATTATGTATGTAAAAGATAGAATCAAGTGACTGCTAACTTTTGCAAGTCGAAAAAGCTCCACCGAAAAACGATGTTTTTCTTTTGAAAACTAAGTAAATATTAACCGCCATAGTAATGATGTAACTTACAGTCGTTTTTTTAGTTTTATTGCAAAGTTAAAATAGGTATGTTCGGAGGACAACTAATATTCCATATGCTATTTTTAAAAAAGCAAAGTGGATAGCACTCCCCGTGCATCAACGAAAGCTTTGTTGTTTTGTTTGCATTCGTGTCCGTGCATTTGATCGATGTGAAGCTTTTTACATTGTAACAAGATTTTTTAACATTGTTTTAGAAGAGTATACCATAGTTTGTGAATATTGTTTCCATGTTCAACTATGTTACGTCGAATATTTTTTGGTCAGTGTTTTGTTTTTCAAATTTACATGTCACATTTTTATTCTTTCTTTTTGAGTTTTAAATGTGAACATTTAACTATTTGTCCATTTTTATTAAGGAAATTATTTTCTGTTGAATCTTTCAGCCATTTTCGCATACATATAAAAAGTTGGAAAATTAATAAAACACCATTAACATCATTTAAGTCATTTATTTATTTTGAAGTTTACAAAGCTAGTCGAGTAACAGTACAAATAATATCATTAAATTGTTTTAAAAAAAATGTTCTCATAAATTTTTGACGTTTTAGATATAAATTTTAAACTTTTATTTGATTCAATGCTAAAAGTAACATTATTACAATAAAATCAGAGATGCTATTCTTGCGGTCGGTGTTTACTTTATCTTCTTGTTATTTCAAACTTCTAGGTAAAAATAAGCTGAAATAAAAACAATTGAATCATTGAATACGGTTGTATTAACAACTAGCTTTCGCCCGCGACTCCGTAACTGACGAAAGTGTGTAGCCTACGTGTCTTCCAGACTATCCTGTACATCTATACCAAATTTCATCGAGTTCCGTTTAGCCGTTTAGGCTACAAACTCTAACAAACATCCATCCATCCATCTAAACTTTCACATTTATAACATTAGTATGAAGTAAGATTACCATCATCACCATGCTTTAAACCCAGTCATGTAGTATTGGCGTACAAAGTTGTATAAAACCCTCGCATGTCGGGTATCGCCAGTCGGGCGCTTATGCTCGGTTCACATTTGGCCAGTTCATTGCCAGTTTAAGTGCTGACAAACTGTTCTGTTTAAGTATGAACCGCATATTAATTAGTAAGAGTATAAATTTCCTTTTATAAAAAAAATTTTGACAGCCCTATGCGATCAAATTATTGGCCGTTATACTCTGTAGTCTGCAGATGCTCTTCTATTGGGTTGTATTAAAATCAAATGATTTGTGTACATATTTACCTTTCCTAAATTACTGTAATGTGATTCTAGGTTGTCGTGTTTGTAACGCTATTGGTGAGCTGTAGAAATTCTCCTCTGTGCCTTCTACTTTATTGCGTCTGGCTATATGCATTACTGGACTTCGGTGACTGCACGCTGTGCTTGCGTGTAGTACTTCTGCGTACCTTGATTGAATGAAATATATAATCTTTCACCAAAGATTAGTTAAAAGACAGTTTAAAAGATTTTTTTTAAGATAAAGTAGCAAAAAAACAATTAGTCAAAGAAGAAGCGACCGCTGGCTATAGACATTTGCAGATGCGTTAATTATACATTATGTATTTTTTAATTATTCAATGACTAAATGTGGTAAAAAGGCAATAAAATAGGTATGTGGAAACAAGGTACCTGTCAAGCTTAGTAATTTTGTAATCTATGGTATCTGCAAAAAGAAAGAAATTTAATCATTAAATTATTTTCACACTAGTAAAATATGACGTCACAAGACTCACCTCTCTTCCGACGACAGCGCATTATGAGGCAAAGTAGCACAAGAAATGCTGCTATGACCAGCGCCGCGGCAATAAGAGGTGCCACGTTAGTTGTCTCTAAAGATAACAAAACATGTTAGATTAAACACAGACAACACGGAAGAATATAAATTGAACAACGAGGTGACATAATTAAGAATGATGACAAATGGATGGTAGAGTTATTTGGAGGATGAAAACTCGGTGCGCCGAAACTACGGGAGTAGGATAAGATAAGGGAGATGATGAACGAGCGGAATTTAAAACCACTAAAGCCTTTAGATTCAGGTGGTCACAATGAAACAGATTACATACTTTTATTTTTTTAGTATCAGGAGGAAATCTAAATTTTTAATATTTACTAATGATTTAAAACAACCTGATACAGTCTTCAAAAACAATGTTTGTAAATTAAGTTCACCAATGAAGACTTACCGTGCACTTTAAAGGATACAGTATGAGATGAAAATCCTTTGTCGTTTCCGACGCGCAACACGTAATCTCCCGCATCCGAAGATTGAACATTCTGTATTGATAGAATGTACTGGTAACAATCATCTATGCCTTCTTTTTGAAAAGCTTTATATCGATCTATAAGAAAAGTAAATAATAAAATTTAACTTCATTTAATTTGTTACAAGGTGTTCTTTAAGTTAATACTTTACCAATTTCTGAAGGAATATCCAATCGGAATTTACCCCAGAACCAATAAGCCATAGTTGGTGACGGGTCGCAGCATACTGTCGCTTGTATGTTTCCTGTACTGCCTTGCCAGCCGTCAGCTGTTCTGATGTCTTTACCAATTGGCGGTCCAAGTACGTTCAGAGTAATTGCTTTGGATTTGTGAATTCTATAAATGGACCAATAGTTTAATTGTATTCATTTTCTCATGTTATTGTTGAACGTTGAAGAGTATGGTTATGTATAAATTGCCTTACCTTTCCTCACCTCCGATATAATTTCTAGCGATACAAACAAATTTTCCCCGTTTAGAGTAAGTCACGTTAAGTAACTGAAGTTTAGATGCAGATGATATTAAATATCCGTCTGAACAAACATTCTTCGTAGCTAATGATTTGGGACTGAAAAATAATAAAACATCAATTGCTATCTTGGTAACTCGAACTTATAAAGTGCATATGAATGAAATTGTAAAGAATTATTTGAAAGAGAAGTAGGTGAAACTCCTTTGCTTCTTTAAAAATTATTTCGATCCTAGGTTCATGGTAATGAAAAAACAGCAGCACTATTGTTAGTCGATTGACTTACCAGTGATACCATTGGTAAGATGGAGCTGGGTTACCATCGGCCTTGCACTCCAGGTTAACTTGTGAATGCAGTTTCGCATTAACCAATAAACGAGGACCGACCCAAGTTATTCGTGGAGGGACTAAAAGACAGAAATCATACCAAAAGGCTATGAACAGTGGAAAATACGCTCTGACTCTAGACAGACATTTATTTGGCCAGGAAGAGATAATTTACTAGTGTAACGTGGCCAAGGGAATATTTAAGTAACAATTAGTTATACTCTGAGTGCGGGATTTAAGTATCACGTTTGCATAAATATTATCGAAGTCATGAATGATAAAAATTTTACTTACATTTAACGTCTATTTCGATTTTAACAGAATCTGATTTACCCATAGCGTTTTTAGCTAAACATTTGTAAATACCTGAAAAAAAAATATTTTGATCTTCTTAAAACTTTGAAACATTTGAAGTATGTTAATGTTTTAAATCAATTTTGTACAATAGTTTTAATACCTGAGTCATTTCTTGTTACAGTCACAATTACAAGATTAGGACCGTCAGTGATTATTCTTTGACCGTCTTTTGTCCACCATACATTGGGTTTAGGATTCCCATCTCCTTTGCAATATAATGTCAAAGAACTTAAACCTTCTTCTAGAGTCGACAGTCCTTCAGCATCCGCTCCCACGATTGAAGCAACTGGAATGACTGTAATGATTATACTGATTTGAAATAGTAATTTATTCACCAAGGTTTCACTGATGGATGTGTGGTATGACAAGAATGGATAAAGTTAAGAATGTGTACATTAGAGGAAGTTTGAAAGTAGTGCTAATGGTGGAGAAATTGAGAAGCAAAAGATTAGCGTGGTATGGACATGTTATGCGACGAAACGATGGGAACATAAACCAGAAAGTGTTAAGATTAAATGTGGATGGCTACAAAGGTAGAGGAAAACCAAAGAAAGTATGGATAAATTGTGTGAAAGAGGATATGCTTGATAAAGGAGGATTCAGATATGACGGAGATTTATGGAAGAGCAGCACATACTGTGCCGACCCTCCGTAAGGGATAAGGGCAAGTGGATGATGATGATGGTTTCACTGATTGCAATGAACTATGTAGTCATTATTTAGGCTGTTTAGTGTTTTAAGTTTTTGCTGAAAACTTCTGACAGTTGCTATAACATCTCATTGTGTGGGTGGACGATTTTAGTATGTTTTCCTCTAGGAGTTAAAAACAAAATTAAACTTGAAGAGATAAAAGTATTTTATTGACAGTTTAACATTTGAATAAGATACGAATTGTGAATATTTCATTGAGTGTAATAAAAAAAAAATACTAACATTTAACGTCTAACGTAATATACGCATCTTTATAGTATGGTGGCGGGTAAGAAGGATGATGTGCTCGACAGACTAGTTGCTTGCGGTGAGTGGCTCTGTTGGGGACCATATCTAACATAGCGCGCGCTTTCCAAAGACGAGGCTGGTTTACTTCTGACGTGTTTGTTTGACTCCATGCTATAACCCGTCCCTTTTCTGAAAGACGTTCATAATTACGACGTGATACTTTCTTGGTCTACACTTTTATTTAATTTCTTTAATATTTCACCTAATAACCATTCAATGTAAGCAGGTGGGTTTCCATATCTAACTTCGCAAAAGATGGTTGCTTTCAACCCAGCAGCTAGAGCGATATTTTGATCCGAAAGAACACGGGAGCCATTGTAATAAATTCTTGGTATCTGTGGAGCAACACGCACGGCGAGTATGGCTGGTTGACTTGAAAGTGCATCCTGAAATCAAATGGAAGTTATAGAGAGCATAGTGTGTCTTGAGTCTACGACTCTTAAATAGTAATAACCTTCATGTTATAGTTGCTAGCAGTGACCTGGCATCGCCACTGTCCGTCATCAATGTGCAGCTTTGCCGATCGTATGCGAAGCGAGCAGTCAGTGGCCATGGCTATTCGAGGGGTCGCCCACTCGTACTTTCCACGATACATACCAACTGGCTGGAAAACAAAGTGATTACACAAGGAATACTTTTGGTTTATAACTAATATATGCGTAGCATATGAAAGAGAGATCAGAAAGCCTTATATATAAATTGGTATAAACCGTGTGCGAATAGCACATACAGATAATAAGGACATTCTGAGCTCGCGACGCCGACAAAAGGACTTGGGTTGCTCGTTATGAAATTGAAGGCGAGAGTCCGTGAATATGCGTAACGTAGCAAACGGGGAACTCGACGTAATAATCGGATCACGTTATCAAATAGGATGGTGGGTAACTTGGAACGTCTGTAAAGTTTGTTACGACTTTAAAGTTCGTCGTGCAACTTGACATTTGAGTTAATTAAATAATCTGGTAAAGTCACCTATCATTCACACGACTAATAGAATTATACTCTATCTATCTATTTAGTAATGAATACATATATCAGTTATTTATGTAATTTCCCAAATAAGCAATTCTCTAATGAACTGCAGTAATGCTAACACTTGTCTTGAGCCTGAAGCAATTCACTTGATATGAATGTCAGCACAGAAGGCATCTACGTAGTTAGAATATTAAATTTGCTTTTGTTTTAAGAGCAAATATTTGCATTAGCGGCAAATATCATAATTACTGAGAGCAGACACAAGGCTGTCTGACTAGCTCGAAGGTCTGCGGTATAACGTTTTGGGGGTAATGAAAAGTCAATAAAACTTGAGTTTCGGTGTCTATAGGAGTATCTAAACTCCGTGACTAATAACAGAACATTCCATTGTAATAAGTAATTTCTGTACGTTAAAATGTTTTATTGTACTCAAATTACTTGTTTTAATATATAGAACTTTTTAAAGGCCCGTTACCTTGTTATCTTTTTGCCATGAACAGATACCTCTCTTGTCTGATATTTGACATTTCAGCAATGCATCTTCTCCCGGATTTACTTCCGTATAAGAAGGTTCTTCTGCGAACCGTTGCAAGCCACCTGAATAATATTTAAAAATGGAACATTTTCTTATAGAATGGAGTCAGGCCTGAATTCTTTTGATATTAGTTAATTCGACGTCGTCGAGTCTATTCTTTACATTTTTTTATATTTCACAACAATTATTTTGTGAGGAATGTCCTAGTCTACGGATATTTTTATAAGAGTCGTGTCCTATTAAAATAACATTGAACATCTATACTACTATAATAAATTGTAAACACACACTTCTTTGTTGCCCAAGACGTCAGCAATTACAGCATATTTTTGAAAAGTCTTTTTTTTAATAAAAAGCCCTACACTTGCGTCACGCTTTAGGCTATATATTTTAACGTCATTAAACATAGGGGGTAATTATTTTGGCTAAAAACCCTGATGTGGGAAAGAGTTGCTTCCTTGATGTTGGCAGCAACTTACCATAAGTTGCTGCCAACATCAAGGAAGCAAGGTTGTCATCATGTCATGTCATTTTGACAGTTGTAATTGATAATTTGACACATGTAAACAATTAAATAAAATTTTCATAATTTCATGCGGATGAAGTCGCACGGGAACAGCTAGTATTTAATAAAATTCGTGTAAGTATTTTAATAGTCATTCTTTTCTATACCTTTCTTTGGATTTACTCAAGATAATAATTCTCGAGGATTATAAATAGCAGCTTTCATTCAAAATATTGTAGCGTTGTCCTTTTTATAATATCATTTTTGAGCGAAACGCGTGGGGCAGAAATCTCAGTAGGTCAGTAGGATTCGGGCGCTCGCTTTCAATTAAACTTTCAGCATTTAGGATGCACTTTTACTGAAGCGAGAACAATGCATACCAAGCTCCTAGTGCAATTTTGACGAGCGAAAAAATACTAACAGGACGCTTTTTAAAAGTTGTTTCCACGAAACGATTTTATATTAGAAAAAAAGGACAAGGAAATATATTGTATGAATTCTTTTAAACTATACTTAATCCCAATTTATTAACATACTAGCTGTTCCCGTGCGACTTCATCCGCATGAAAGTTTACTTTATTGTTTATATCTGTCAAATTATCGATTACAAATGTCAAAATGACATGACATGCTGACAACCTTGCTTCCTTGATGTTGGCAGCAACTTTAGTCTCTTTCCCACATTAGGGTTCTTTTATCCAAAATATTTACCCTCTAAGTTTAATGGCGTTAAAATATATATCCTAAAGAGTGACGTAAGTATAGTGCACTTTATGAAAAAAAGAGTTATTCGAAAACATGCTGTGATTGCTGACATCTTGGGCGACAACAAAGTGTGTGTTTACGCTATATTATAATAGTATAGATATGTAGTATAGATTGACTACTAATGATTATAATCATAAAATTAAATATGATTTCTGTCTATATTTTCGGAATACGATGTCATACCACTGCGAAGCGTCGATTTGAAATTAAAAAAACGTAACATTTTTCAAGTTGTACTCTAGAAGTGTGTGCTGATTATTTTGCCTTTCAATGTGATTAATATCGAAAAATAATGAAGCCGCGGCCTAGAACACTGGGAATATGGGATTGAAATAATGAGAACATTTTTACTGAAAATTTATGTTGTGTCCACATGAGAGGATTGGCTATTATGACTATAAAGCTATTTTTCCTATCTTCGTTTCCTTAAAAATATTACTTGAAAATATACATGTAACCTGTCATGTGTAGTCAGTGGTATAATCGAATTCAATGGAACGGAAGAAATTATATGTACATTTGAGGAAATTCACGGTGTTCGACTTTAGGAAAAATTGCTTTATTCAACGCAACGAGACAAAAAACGCCTCTTCTTACAAATAACTAATTGGATAGCAGTGAGTGCTGTAAACGAAGGGATATGCAAACTAGCCGACTTTTTTGTACAGTCACATTTATAAGATGCGTTGTTTTGATTTTTGTTCCAAGTCTCGTTTCTAAATCTTCAAACGATTGTAGCTTTTAAGATGGTGACCGCCAGTTTCCACGACTGTACTTTGTTATATTATCTGTGATTTTGTTTTGGAATGTTTCAGTGTTTAAATTGATGTTAAACATGATTGTTTTAAGTCTGTGATTGCAGAGTTACAAACGTAAAACCATTTAGATAGGTTTTGTATTATATTCATTTCTGTTGAAGTCGTCAGAGAGCTCCTATTCACAAACCCGTGACACCATCTTACTAATGTTATAAATGCGAAAGTTTAGATGGATAGATGTTTGTTAAAGTTTGTAACCTATACGGCTGAAGGGATTTTAATCAAATTTGTAGAGGATAGTCTGGAATAACACATGTGCTACTTGCTTTTGTTTTTTTTTTATTTCGCACGGACGGAGTCGCGTGCGAAAGTTGGATATAATAAGTGAAATGAATACGCTTGAAAATGTTTCAAATTAGCAATGAAAAATAAAATATGACCGTCTGCCCTACTAAGGTGAACCACTAACGTTAGTCAACAACTCATAATTATAGTTAATTCAAGCAAATAATTAACGGAAAGTATACTCACCGACTTCAACTGTAACCATGAATGAAATTGCTAACTGAATAATTCGTGTACCCATGTTGGTGTTCCGTTGCTTTTTACTCTTTTATATTTACTTTATCTAGCATGAAATTATTTTATCACTTTTTATAAACACAGAGTTACTGAACTTTGTTAAGCAACGATAAAACCTTCCGTAATGGTAGGCGTTAGGCCAACGACTGCCGGTAAAAGCTCTGCAACGTTATGCGCCTTATGACATATTTTTTATGTTAACTATTTCCCCTTTAGAAATGACGTAACTACAGATTAAATTGTTGGAAAGTTTTAATCTGTAGAATTTTTTATTTCACTTTCAGATTAACAACACTACTGCAACGTATACGCTTGTATGGATGTGATTGTGTTCGGTCGTTTGAAAAGAAAATCTTTTTTAAAAATGGAAATACAAAAATACGATTGCTAGGTCAGTGACCATATTCCATTGTTTTTTTTTTGTGTTATGAGTTTATCTTACTAACATTATAAATACGAAAGTTTAAATGGACGGATGTTAGTAGCTTGTAGCCTTAACGGCTGAACGGATATCGATGAAATTTGATATAGACGTAGAGAATAATCTGGAAGAACACATTACTTACTTTTCTTTTCTTTTCTTTAATTCAACGCGGACAGAGTGGCAGGCGAAAGCTAGTTGAAAAAGATGTATCTTTTTTAAGAAATTATTTCAAAACACTTCAGGCAAATTCCATTATAGCCTTAAGTCTGACAAATTAAGAAAACAAGTCAAGTTTCAAGCACGTAAAAATTGACGTGCAGTGAGTCGGTACAGTTTCAACTGACGATGCAAACAAAAATAGTTGCTATTGGTTGGTTCTGTCTGATTTTTTTTTAAATCTATTTGAACATAAAAAATGACAAAAGGAGGGCGCCAGTGAGGTATCATAATTTAGTTTCACTTATGCCCACCGGGTCAAATAACTTGTCAGTCTATAGTAGTTTTGAACTAACTTTTTATGATATTGACATGAAGTGTCACTAGTTTTAACATAGGTAAAGCTAAAGTATACCATACTATAACTTTATTTATTTAAAAATATAGCAGAAAACAAATATTCACCAGTTTATAAGATATAGGCCTGTCCCACGAAATTGTAAATTGTCTGAAGACAATCCAACGTGTATAACATGTGATGGAAATATCGAATTTTGTTCTCTTATCTAACAGTGACGTCATTCTTAAGCTATCTGAGCCAGTGGTGGGACAGGCCCTTAAACTAAAGGAATGACAAGAAATAAAATTCAATAGTGTTAAAAATATTTATTGAAACACACCGTACTACATAAGAGCACTTGAATTGTCAGTTTTAATGCGTTCGTTCATGCACTTGTACACATTAAGGCCAACTTACATGGACTGCAAGTATTTGGTTCAGTTTCATGCGATCATACAGAGTGTGCAACTGTTTTAACGAGTCCGTGTATGGCTGCCCTTACAAACAGTGACGTAGAGTGAAATGAGGTAAAAAATTCATCATATACTTTACACGAACATTATGTTCAGACATGTTATTTCGTTGTATTATTTGTAAGAACTAAAGGTTAAATGTGAATAATAAATTAAAAATAATACTTAGATGAAAACTATTAAAAAACTTCCTATTCATCGACAACATATTTATATTTACTACAATACTTTAACAGATTACATTATAGGAAGTTTGAAAGTAGCGCCAGTGGTGGAGGAATTGAGAAGCAAAAGGTTAGCGTGGTATGGACATGTTATGCGATCAAATGGGGACATAAACCAGAAAGTGTTAAGATTGAATGTGGATGGCTACAAAGGTAGAGGAAGACCGAAGAAAGTACGGATGGATTGTGTGAAAGAGGATATGCTTAAGAACGGAGTGGATTCACATATGATGTCTGCTAGAGATGTATGGAAGAGCAGCACATACTGTGCCGACCCTCCGTAAGGGATAAGGCCAAGTGGATGATGACTACTTTAACAGATTAGTAGATAATATAAAATATCCCCAAATTACCTATGTTATTTTTGCCCATATATATTATTAATAAAAAACTATAATTTGCTAACATATAAAAACATCCACATATTGATTTGTAGAATTAAGTACTAATGAAAAAGATAATTTAGCCTTTCAAAATAAATTAAGTTTGACACTTTTGATTTCAGTGTCATTCAAAATAAGAATATTTTATACAGAGCATTCGTGGGTTTCTTTTATCAAAAAATATCAATCTGTCATATTATGTGAAAGAAATTAAATAACAATCTATGTTATTATTAAAAGACATAAGTATTTTTATGTAACGAAAAAACTCAAGACTTAAAAAATCACTGTTCTGTCATACATAGGCTTTATTCATTATTCATTTCTTTTTACTTTTGCGCGGACAGTCACAAACAAAAGCTAGTATTATTATAAACGTATCAAAGGTACTCAGAAATTGACTTATCAAAGTTATTCATGTGAACATAAACACGTATGAAATTTTACAATAAACAGATTTTTTTTAGGATTTTTTATATCAAAAACTATATTTAGAATGTGAAGAATGTCTTAACTTAATCTTTCGAAACAATTTAATAAAAAATTCAATGACAAACAGTTAAATTCAATCCAGTTTATTAGTCCAAAAATCATGTACAGAATGAACTTTATGTCCTTGAGAATAAGGTTGTATATCCAATGTTACGCACTCATATGCAGCGGTCTTACATTCCTATGGTTTTGCAAACAGCGTATGGAGCAAAATTTGAACTTGTCATATTCGAACGGCGGTTTTGGAAGACGATTCGCGCAGAGGAAGCAACGAGGCTCGTCCAGTCTTATCTATATGGAATAGAAGATTTTAAACTAGTGTTGTCCAAATCACCAAGGTATAAATGGAAGTTAAGCGAATTTTTAAACCTAAGTTAAATAAAAAAAAAACTAATTTTGAACACCTAAAGATATTAATGATGGGTGCTAAATCAACCGTCACAAACATATACTTTATACTAATGAAAATGTGAAAGTTTGTATGTATGTATGTATGGATATTTTTTTACTATAAATCTCCAAAATAACTTATCGGATATTAATGAAATTTGGCACAGATACACATTTTAAAAAAATCTGTAAAGCAATTTAATTTAAATTGAAATGTGAACAAACCTTTTCCGCATCCGTTAGCTGCAAATATTTGTTAGTTTTGATCTTCTCTACCTGTTTCACTTTGTTTCGTTGCCTTTTCAACTTCTTCTGCTGTGCTTTCTTCTCTTTTTCCTGTTCCAGCTGCTCCAGAGTGACAGGTCCTGGGATTTGTGACTAAATACAAAATAAAAGATAAAATAATTGATTTATTTTTATTACGTTCAGGAAATTATAAGATACATGTGAAGTCATTATACTAAGATCCTTTGCATGAGATTCACGGCCGTATACTGAAACGACTGCGGAACAATTCGCCTAAGCAACGCTTACAATCTGATAGACGTCACTTTAGTAGAATTTGGAATTACAAATTTAAATGTCGTTTTAATATTCTACCGTAAGTAATGACTTAGGATTGAAGAAAATCTATTTTCAATTAAAAAGAAAATCAATGGATTTAGCAAAAAATTGGAGATACTGCTGGAGAAAGAAATTAGAATCTTAGAAAAAATTTTTTTTTTTATAATAAGCAAACGAGCAAGCGGCCACCTGAATCCGCCAAAATGGCGAAGCGACCGCTGCCCATAGACATCCGCAATTGCAGATGCGTTGCCTACCCTTATCCGATGGAGGAGACGCACATAAAGAGGATATTTCCCCTTCCTATGCATCTCCTCCACCGTCAAATCCACTTTCCCTTCCCATCCTCTCCTTATAAGAAAAGGGTGGTAAAGAGAAAGGGACTTAAATTAGGCTCAATTTTACCTTATTATAGTTATATCTGTCAGGAAACTGTCCTTGGAAAAGTCTGAATAAAACTCTGATATCACTATGAGCCGCAGCGTAAGGAGTTTGCAGCTGATGGTTCTTAACGCAAGGATCACCGCCCGCTGTCAGAATTTGCCTACAAGAAAAAAATCAAATGAATTTAATCGATACCAACTACTAATGAGGTAGTTTACTTCATACTTTTCATTTTATCTTCCTAGTTCCCCGCGACTTCAATTCCTTTAAAAAAATAATAAAAAAAACGTAGCCTATATTACTCCTTGATTAAACTACCTTTCAAACGATGTAAGAATTTTTAAAATCGGCCCAGTAGTTCGAGTTATACCAATGCATACAAAAAGACAAAACTTTCCTTTTTATAATATTAGTAAAGATGAAATGTATGAATGTTCGGTGCAAAATACAACCTCTTTGGGTGACAAGAAGTATGAACTTTTGGGTACTTCATTATTAAAAAGACAGTGAAAACAAAAGAAGCGGGAGATGAGTATAACGGGCAATATGAAATTGATTTAGTTTTGCAGAATAATATTGTAAATATGTATATAATTGAATAAAGTTGTTTTGGTTCTTTTTAAATAGTGTACTTTTGGTTGCCGCGCTGTCGGTTACAAGTAAAATATGGAGCGATTTCTTTATTTATACTCACGTGACCATATCTCCCTTAGCAGCAATGGCGGCTTTGTGTAGCGCGGTGTTACCATCGGAGGGGTCTTGAGTATTACAAGCTGCTTCTAAATCATCACCTTCCCACGTTTCAATTATAGTCTCCAGAGATGTAAAATCATTGTCTTCAATTAGTTTCCACATCTAAAATTAAAATATTCCTTTAGAAAATCTAAAGTTACCCCGAATTGTCTAAAAAGTAACTTTTATTGACAATTTGTTCTCAAACTCTGACATTCTACCTTTTGAACATTCGCTGGAATTTTAGGCTGACCCTTTTTAGTCGGCCTACTTTCCTCTGGCTTCTTTTTGTTCTTCTTCTTTCTTACTTGTTCTTTATGCTCTGGTAAATCATCTTGACTTTCAGAACTTCTACAACTTGCTATCGCGGTGTCATTGATCAGATCTTTTCTAGAATTCGTTAGTATACCAAGACTGCTCTGTTCTGAGAGTGTTTTGATCCAATCTAGTGGTGTCTCAAGGTCGATGAAACAAGGTCCCTCATCTTCGCTTGATATTAACTGAGTTGGTAACTCTCGAGCTGGACGTTCCCTATTACAAAAGGAATACTTACTTTTAAGAATGATTTCTATATGAATATGGTTTAGAAAATCGAATACTTAAAGCAAAAGCGAAGCAATTACCTGGATTTAGCTCGATTAAAAGTCTTGCTAGGACTCTTTTGCACCTTCTTACTTTCGTCGGTACCCGACTGTTTGGACGGTTTAGTTGTCGAGGCGATCAATGCTTTTTGGAAGAGCTCCATAGAATCTACAATAAATTTAAGTTTCCCTAAATTTATAACAGCCACAATCAACGTGAATTGATTTATAATAATTTAAAATTTCCTATCTCACCATAAACTTCAAAGCTTGCTAAAGTCTCGTGTACTCTCTTAACTTCTTTAAAACTGGGCTTCTTTGTGGGAAACGGTAATGCCCTCACACGAAAATCATCTCTACTTAACGGAGAATTTTTCCCGAAAAGCGCGGCTTGGTTCATCGAGCCTACCGCACGGTACAGAATGCACGAGCAACCTTTTAGATCTTCCGCCCAGCTTCCTACGATCTCTTGGACGTGCTAAAAGATAGACAGTGCTAAAAATATATCTTTCTTAAAAGGAACGAAAGATACGCTTTGTGCAATCATTGACGCCTTCGTGAACGTTTTGTTGGCAGCATTGAAGGACGTCGTAAAAGAATTTTGTTAGAAATATGATAAAATACAATGAAACAAATAGAAGAAAGCGAATACCTCTAAAAACTGTGCCTGATTGTATCTTCTTAAACTAGCTCCTGCCGATCTCGGAGCATTGCCATGGTTGTCTCTATTGACCTGCGCCTGTCCTTGACCTCGGCGGGTCACGTAAGAGTGGTGCGTTTTATGTAACACTACTACGCCACCAGAAAATATGGCACCCGCAAAATGGCCACCAGATACCATAAGCACTGCCCAACGTTGGAACCCTGGGATAGAAAGACGGGTGCAACGATCCACCCAATGTTGACCATCCCCGTCTGTTGACAGCTCCTCCTAATTTAGGTGTAGGTTTATTTTTTTTTTTATTTTACAAAACATGTTACAATTTTGACAGAATCCGCCACTATGGACCTAAACCCACTGTAACATATAAGACAGTGGAAGGCCTAATGATATATTTTTTTTTCTTTTGATACATACCTTTTTATGGTGCAGAACACATCTGTAAACACAGAAGACCTGTCCATAACGATTAGTAAAGAATGCTTTACAGTGCCTAGTGGCAGCTGCAAACAGATCACTAGCTGGATTGGTCCCACCATCATCACCTTCTGAGTCACTTCCAGAAACACTTGAGTTATCATCTGTATCACAAAGACATATCCTTACTATTGGAATATAAGCATAACTCGATATTACCCAAAGTCCATAGCGGATAAATATTTGTAGTTTGAATGGCAACACGGTCACTGTCATTCAATCTCTTCCGCTTATGGCTGACATAAAGCACACATATTCTATCTTGTATATTAATCTATGTAATATTAGTTTGTACTTCCTATTTAAGCGTGTTTTAATTCATCAACACTTACTATTTGGAAGCCATAAACAAGAAATTACTAAACAATTTACTAAATCTGAGTACACAGGTAGGGGTAGACCGGGAGAGTATGAAGAGTGTCAAGTGAATAAGGACATGTATAGGAAGGGAGTGATTTCAAATATGATGCCTGATAGTTGTATGGAAGCTTACTGCATACTGTACCACTCCTAGGAAAATGGCAGGACAATATTAAACAACTAAAAATCAATGTATAATATATCTCATTCCTCATTCATACAAACGGGATTGTCAAACATCATACAATTTTAATATTGGATATTAATTAATATTTTTAGAAGGTAGAGGAAGACTAAAGAAAGTATGGATGGATTGTGTAAAAGAGGATATGCTTAAGAAGGGAGTGGATTCAGATATGACGGCTGATAGAGATGTATGGAAGAGCACATACTGTGCCGACCCTCCATAAGGGAGAAGGGCAAGTTGATAACTTTATATTTTTAGATACTCCATAAAACATGTTTATTTTTATAAAGTTAAATTATATGGTACAAATTTTATTGACTATAGTTTTATAGGTATGAAAGAAAAATAATTATTATTACAATATTTATGAAGTTAGCTACTGAGAAAATATGTTATATTTTTATTTAAACAATAAAACTAAGAGAACTCAATCACAGAGAACTATTAGGATATGAATATATAAGAAAGATGTGAATTCATATATGACTAACTGTTTCTCGCAACTTCATCTGTGTTAAATAAAAAAATAATAAAAGATATAGACTACGTTACTCACAGATAAATTGCCTTTCCAATGATAAAGAATTTTTGAAATCAGCCCAGTAGTTTTTGAGTTATTTATATTATTAGTATAGATTACTTACCTTGTCTAGAATTAAATTGTCCCAGAGTTAATGCTGGTTTACCAAAGAGTTTCCTTTTTAAATTATAAGTGTGCCAATGGTCTTTGTAATGAGCTGTCTGCTTTGCTCTTGTGGCAAATGGTCCCACACCGCAACATGAGCAGCAGTTACCATCAGAAGGACCTCCGATGGTCAAAGCGTTGAGGCGCTTAAGGACACTTTGTTCATCCACTGTTAAGGAATTTAATAGTAAAAAAGGGATGATAAAACATAAACAAGTTTTAAATTTCTTCTTAATTTATTTAATGGTGTTAACTATGTTTCATGTTAATTTGTTTAAAGTTTTTCCTCTAAGAACTTAACATATTCTGGATATGTAATATTTTAACCAATAAGGCATTTTAAAAGATTCTATTTACTTGTACATTTTCCCTCCATTTATAAATTTCTAATAAAATGTAACTTACCAACTACGTGTGACTCAGTTATCATACATGCTGGCACTCTTATACCTCGAAGTAACCTTTCGAAGGCGTCTAATTCATAAACTCTAACGATATGAGGTTTTACTAGTTCTGTTTTATTAGCCATATTTATTCAACAATTTGGTTTACATTCTACGTGAAAAAAAAATTGTTTTAGAACGTTCACACAACTATTCTCTATTACACTTTTGAACAATAAAAATAATATTGTGCAATAATTTAAAAAGTCAAATTGTATTACACAAACATAACCTTAAATATTTCTGACAGCGACTGTCAAAAGTTGGCAATTTGGAAGTTTAGGGGTGTTGCTATATAATGATAACTAGAATTAAATAGCCTTGATTGTTTTATTATTTTAATAACAAAAGCTCGTAAACCTGTTTAATGCTATTTAAATTGAAATATTAAAGTTTTAACACAAATTAGGAACATTGGACACCAATGATTACAATCGGCCAATAAAAATAAACATCTAAAACAGTTTAATACAAAATGCTAACTTTTGTTTTTGAATTCTACCGATATAAAAATAACAAAAATCAGGTACAATATTATCTTAATATTGGCACAGTAGTAATTAACAATTTATCATCATAACCACAGCATCAATATGTTATATAATATCATCTGCTAAACGAGGGATTATCACGATAAAACTGCCATTACACAAATAAATGAAATAAATTTCAAATCACAAACTAAAGCTACTTAAATCCTATACATCGGTGAAGCAGTTGCTAAGCTCTTAACTGGACCGAAATCTACACGTTCCGGAATAATCCCCGCCATTTACCGTCGAAGAAATTCAAGGATATGTGTGACGTCAACTAATGTAGTAACCCTAATTTGGATAGGATACAAACTTATCGGTTAAGACATTATGTGAGTTGACGACTGTAAATCCTAAGAGCCGTTTTATTGATTAATTATAGATGTTAATATATTTTTTTTCTACCAACTCTCCAATATTTGCGAACGAAGTAAGGAAAACAATATCGATTCGTAAAAGGTCGAATCTAAAAATAAAATGTGGCCACGTAAGTGTCCTCTATTGGAAGACATTTCATTACAAAGTTAGATATTCACACGAACTATTGATAGAGTTTGAAGAGTACGAGAAAGTGTTTTATTAAGTTATTTTATAAGCGTCATCCTTTTTCGTTAAAATGTCTATCTTGGAATTGAATTTGATGTAGGCCTAAATGATTGTTTTGGATGCGGGTTCTTGGGTGTATGTTTAATATTATTTTTAATAGATATTAAATATTAGTAAAAAAAGTCTAAAACAATACATCACATCATACCATACTTCGACTTAATGAGCATGAAACATAATTGTAATTTGTCTACTGGAACGTGTCCCCGTCACAAACTAATTGAGATTCATTGAATACTAGCTTTTGCCCGCGGCTCCGTCAGCGCGGAAATAAAAAAAAACACTAAAAAAATTCCCCTGTGTTATTCCATATGTTCTACATATGTGTCAAATCGTTTAAGAGATGCCTTTCAACTAATATCCATCTTAACTTTCACATTTATAATATTGGTAAGATGTAATGATAAGAAGCTATAGAGAACTCTACGAAATACCTGTGTAACAGTGAATATTACAAAAAAATTATAAAAACTAATAGTGAACATGATTTTCATTTTAGATGTATCCAAACGAGAGACGGATAAAAAATATAAAAAGGCAACATTCGAGTATCTCAGAATATCAAATTACGACCCAGTCGTTTACAAAAAGTTCTATAAAAATACCAAGGGCATTTTGGTTGAAAAATTTCGTTCGTAAACTTTTTTAAATATGACATTAACTTCAGGATATTATAATCATCATGACATTTATTTAAAAAATAATAACTAATTTTAATCAACTTATATTTCAAAACCTTTGATGTCTTAGAAATACGTCTACATTGTGTCGTTCCTTTTTGATGTAATACGGACACAAAATAAATCCCTGTCTAGACATCTTACTTGAGGGCACGAAAAGAAAGAGCGTGGGTCGGCTTTAAATATAACTGAAAAGAAATTACCTATATATCCAAAGTTATACGAAAGTGTAAAGCAAATTTATTAAATAGTACAATTGTTAATAGAATATTTTATTGTAATTACAAATTAAGTGTATTGCAGTGTAATACGCGCATGCTCTAGTGTTGGGCGGGCATCTGTTGTTTCGCCGCCCTTACGAACGTCCGCTCTCTTCAGTCTGTCCGAAGTGTACAACACGAAAGCATTGCGTGTTTTAACGATAAATTGAAAAGTTTTGATCTGATATCATTTTGTTTGTTATATTTTGACGTGTAGAACTCATTTTTAGCACAATAATTACTTTGTTCTGTATATTTAAGTTGAATATTGACTTTGAAGTTATCGTTTATTGTGTAGTGTTTGTTGTGTTTTTATATCAATAGGAAGTTGGTTAAAACTAATCTAAGTAAGGGAAAGCATATTCGCTTACTTTAATAAGTTAGGTGATTCCAAGAAAAACTTGTATAAAATTTTTTGGTAAGTAAAATTGAATTTTTATTTTGATTACGTTAATTTAGAAAGTCTATGATATATTTTGTAATTGTTAATAATATTATACGGAAAATAGGCGTAGTTGAAGTTAAGTTGATTATTAATTTATGTTCATTTTAAATATTAAATAGGGATCTAATAGTTTCAGATTTTAAATAATTAGACTGAAGCGAAACCGTACCAATTGACATTTTTATTGAATTTAATAATTTATTTGAATCTGTAATGTTGGTATTAGATTGTAAAATGATTTGTTTGTTAACCATGAGTTGTTTGTTTGTATTTACATGGGATTTCATAATAAAGGAAATTATCTTACATGTCCAGAGTCCATTAGATAGTTTTAACAGTAAATTGAAGGATTTAAGCTTTTTATATACAATATCGGAAGAGAACATTACAGTTAGACAGATATTAACTTAATCTTTTAAGAAGAGAAAGAAGATGTTTGATAGTAAAACTATTGTTTAAGTTATATAACCGCTAATTGCTTGTACAAATTATTATTATCGTTTACTTTAATACTGCTTCTAAATGAGTATATTAGAGGAAGTTTGAAAGTAGCCCCAGTGGTTGAGAAAATGAGGAGTAAAAGGTTAGAGTGGTATGGGCATGTTATGAGAAGGGATGAATCGCATGTAACAAGAAGGATGTTAGTTATGAACGTGGAGGGGTACATCGGTAGAGGTAGGCCTAGAAAGAGATGGATGGATTGCGTGAAAGGTGACATGATCAAGAAGGGAGTGATGACTGAGATGACGGATGATAGAATGCTTTGGAGGACGAAAACCCGGTGCACCGACCCTACGGGAGTAGGATAAGGCAGGGGAGATGATGATGACTTTAATACTGCTTCTATGTACAGTAGGCAGGTGACAATGCTAATTTATTCTGACTAAATTTATTTCAGTTCTTATAATCAGTAAAGATGAGTTCTAACGAGTACAATAGTTACACGGAACCCAACCAAGACATGCCATACAATTACTTTGTGTCTGTAAACAATAATTTGCCTACAATGGAAAATAACAATCTGATAGATCTCTCAAACCGTGCTGCCCGCGCGTACGATTTAACAGTGTCAGAGAGCACGCAAACCGATTCAAGTAACAATGTGGTTATTCGAACCAAAGGGGCAAAGAAAATTATAATTGATAACAAAGGAGCTTCCTATCAATCTGGGCCATCGAAAACGCCAACAGAAGGGGTAAATTATGCGATAGAGACTAGAAGAGTCCAGATGCCATTGAATGATATACCCCCTGTGGAAGTACCTCGGGCCGAGTGCATTTATGATATGGAAGGCTTAAATCGGCTTGCATCATTCGAAGATATTTCATCTGACGAAACTCAGAACGATGAGAATAACAGTCAAAGCGATGAAATTGATCAACCCTATTTAGCGCTAGATGAATCCACGATGGCTAAAATAGAAGAATGCAGCGAAATTAATAAAGCGGTTATAAATATTTTGATGAATAAATTATCGATCGGAATGCTGCCTACTCTCGAAGGGGAGCCGAGTACGGCAAAAGGAAAATGTTTGTGTGATTCGAAAGGGTTTCGTTCGTTACTGAGCTGTTTCATGGACATCATTGCTATCGCACCACTGTTTATAAAAAAACCTACAAGTGAAAAATGTACACAAACGGTAATAGAATTCAAGGAACCACCTGTTGTTACTAACAAAGCTACGCAGACAGTTGTTGAGTCAGTGCCTAGAGTTAAGATAAACACGAAAGTACATCCAAATAAAGATCCGAATAAAGTTCAACAAAACAAAGAACAAACGAAAGAAAAAACCGGGCGCAATTACTATAATACACAGACATCGACGCAATACACAAATGTGCCCAACAATCAACAAGAACAGTTTTACAATAAACAACAATTTTACCCTCAAGTACCAACGAGCCAGAGCCTTGTTATGCAGGTACGCATTCATATTCATCATCACCGGCTGTGCGTCCCGAACAAGGGGCTCGGAGCCTACCCTAAGTGAGGGGTGACTAGGCCATAGTCAACTACGCTAGCCCAGTGCGGGTTGGTTGACTTCACACATACTTTTGTGCAGGTTGCATCACAATGTTTTCTTTCACCGTAAGAACGTTGGGTAAATTATGTACATATGAAAATTAGAAAAATCTAAAATCACATTGGTACACGGCGGGATTCGAACCCAAGACCTGTAGAATACAAGTCAAGTGCTTTAACCACGGAGCCACCGACGGCAGCATTCATATTATGGAGATACAATTTATTAACCTAATAGATAATTTATTACATACATTTTTGGTTTCAATAGGTCACTTTATTCATACAGTCTTCTAGAACTTAAAGGTGTTCATCGGATTTTAAATTGAACAACAAGGTTTCTCCAAATTCTAATTTATTTTGAGTACGTACGAATCAATCTTAATTTATTTTAGTTAAAGGAGGAAATTTCTTAGGAAAAGGATTATAAAGTTACGTGATGTCAATATACAACTAAGAGTAGACACACTACTCATTAGGAAATTTTGTTTTTCTAATTTTATTGTAAGAAACCAAAGATTCCTTAAACATTTACAGACCGAGTTGAACAGAAACAATATGCAACTGCCAATGATGCAATATGGAATGCCTTATGCACCGAATGCTATGCAGGTAACATATTCAAATTCGTAAAATGTATTTAACTTTGTTATTATACAACTCTCCCCTACTTTATCCTACTCCCGTAGTGTCAGCACATCG